GCTTGTTCTAAGTAGGTGCTTTAGACCACTGAGCTATCTCACCAGCCCCTGAACCTAGTTTATAAATGGCTTGTATTTACATAGCCACAACATATGGAAGTCCTGTCTTTGTGTAGACTAAAAATATATTTAATGCCAGTACTTGTTTCCTGATTTATTTCAAAGGTCTTAATTTTGACAGGCTCACTATGTTGTTCAGGCTGGCCATTCTTCTGCCTCAGCCTCAAGTGCTGCCAGTGCAGGTGTGGCCACTGTGCCCAGCTTTGTTATTTTTTTTTTGCAGTGTTGAGAAGTAAACGCAGATCCTTATACCTGATGGGCAAATGCTCCACCTCTGAGTCACATCAGCTGTTTTAATTTTTTTTTTTTTTTTTAGTGTTTTTTGTCTTTTACCCAGTTTACTTTGTTTCCAGGCATAACCTTACCCAGAAGTGCTAGACAGGTAGGATGGTCACCTGCAGTTCAGGTTACTAATTAACACAGGCTTCTGATTGTGTAAGAAGGTGGGGGATCCAGCTCTGTAACTGGCCTCTGGCTGTGTTACTGGATACCATTTCTTCTGTTGTAAAATAAGGGACAGAAACTGCTCTTTGGAAGGGCACACAGGTGACTGGTGCTGACCTTGTTTTTCCATATCTTAAACTTAAGTTTCGATCCATTCTTAATTACTTATGACTGAAATAGACAAAGGTGTTGCCTATTGTGGAAGATGTAGAAGTGAAGTGACCCCATCTTTATTATCTCAGAAACTTGACCCATAATGGTATCTGTGAATATTTTTTGAATGATTATACGGTTAACATGTTACTTAATATATGGGTTTTCTTAAAACTAAGGTTTGTCTTACAGGTTCTGACGGGTGTTGCTCAGCCAGTAGCATTTGGCCAAGGACAACAGTTTTTACCAGTTCATCCACAAAATCCTGGAGCATTTGTTCAGAATCCTTCAGGTATGTATTTTATGAACTTTATTTTGTGCAATAGACTTACTGTAGCCAACATTGTCAGCTATAAAAGTGACAGTTTCTGAGAGAGAATATTCAATTTGAAGAAATTTTACATAGGTGAGATATTTTTATGCCTTTCTGAATTTGTTTACATTGCTAAGTATTTGCACTGACCCTGTTTATAGCTAGAGAAGGTTAGTTTGGATTTGTAGATCACAAAAAGGAGGTAAGGGGGGCTGGCGAGATGGCTCAGTGGTCTAAAGCACCTACTTGGAACAAGCTTGGCAAGGCATCAGGGACCGCGGTTCAATCCCCCAGCACCACATGCCAGCCAGCCCCGCCCCCTGGTGGGCTGAGCTGGCCACACACACACACACACACACACACACACACACACACACAATAAATAAATAAATAAATAAATAAATGTTAAAAAAAGGTAAGGAAATGAGTTGAGTGGGAGCTGGGAGATGGGTATGGGCTGAGATAGAATATGTAAATGACAAACCTCAGAAATCTCAGTTGATATTTTCAGTTGATTTGTGTGTATATGTTTATTATGATCCAGGAAAGATTTGCTAAATAAATACTAGGGCTACTACTTTATAAAATTAATGGATTCATGTTTTTTTTTTTTAATTTTGTGTGTGTGTGTGTGTGTGTGTGTGTGTGTGGCCAGCTCAGCCCACCAGGGGGCGGGGCTGGCTGGCATGTGGTGCTGGGGGATTGAACCGCGGTCCCTGTGCTTTAGCTAAGCTTGTTCTAAGTAGGTGCTTTAGACCACTGAGCCATCTCACCAGCCCCTGGATTCATGTTTTTATGGTCACTAAAGTTAAGGCAGAAACCTTTTAATAAAACAAAATTAAGACAAAAACCTTGTTAAAAACCCAAACAGCCTTATGATTTCTTAGGTCCCTTCTAAGCACATTGTTACTGTGGGGTGAGTCATGACTAATGGACAAATGGACTGGCAAACCTTTTACTTTAAGTCTATGGCAAGTGGAAAATAGATAAATTATGGTGATTTTTTTTTTTTTTTTTTTTTTTTAACACCAAAGTTAAGGAACTGAGAACTGTTCTAACCAAATACTAGTAATGTTTGTTTTATTTTCTAAATCATTAAAAATGTTTTCACTAGCACACATTTAGTGTTTCAGGAAGTTATTCAACTTAGAAATTTAGGGAGTTCTTTAAAACTTCTGAAGTAATTATGGAAATTCTAGCTAATATTATTTGTGCATTTTTTGGTTAACTGTGAGCTCAAAATTGATTAAATTTGAAAGCTTTTTGCTTTTAATTTCTAGATGAAAAATTATGATATGTGTGAAGGGAAGGAGAGGATCTAAAACTAGAAGACCAGCATTTGAATCTGTTTCTACTCTGTGCTTTTATAGGTGGACAGTGTAAGCAAGCACCCTTGCTTGCTTTTCATCGTTTCCTTTGTGAATAGATGATAGTGCCAGTATTTGCCTGGAATTTTTTTTTAAAGAGAATTAAAAAAAAGAATCAAATGAGATAGCATACTATATAAAAGTACTGTGTCAGGTTCCTGCCTGGCAAGTGCAAGGTCCCAATCTCCATTCCTATTCCAAAACAAAAAAAAGTCCTTTGTAACTTGGAAATGCTGTATTAATGTATTTTCCTGTAGGAAATGCTGTATTAATGTATTTTCCTTTAGGAACCAGTTTTTTATTTTGAATGTCAGATGACAAGTTGCAGTGTTTTGCACACTGCAAGAGTGGCCTGAGATAGTGTGCAAACACTCCAGGTTTTCATCTTTCTTTTACGATGTTGGTATATACACAGATAAATACAGGGTACAGAAGTGTCACAGAGGAATCAAATCTCATTCCTCTGGGATGGGAATATTAGAAATTAGGTTTCATCTTCCTTTTTCAAGTTCTACTTACTCTTATGGATTGTGTGGACAGTGTTCAGAGCTGTCTTGAGCTGCTTTCAAGGTTTTCATTCTAATTTGAAAGTGACGCTATCATTTTCCCAGTAGTTATACTCCTGTTCATATACTCATTAAAGCATGAACTGATTATTTACAGATGCTGACTGTTGTATGAAGAGGAATTTAAGGTTCATTCTTTAAGGATTTTTTTTTTTCTTTTTTTTTTTGTGCGGTACTGGGGATTGAATTCAGGACTCTGCACTTGTCAGGCAGGTGCTTAGTCTACTGAGCTGTCTCCCCAGCCCTAAAGAATTTTTTAGTGTAGCAGATCTATTGATTGATTTGCTTATATACTGTGTATGAGCAAGCCATGGTGGTACGTGTGTATAATCTTAGCACTCTGTGGAAGCTCAGGCAGGAGGGTGGCACTGTGCGTCAACCTCAGAAGCTATATCAAAAAAAAAAAAAGGCCAGGAATTTAGCTCAGTGCATAGACCCTGGATTCAATCTCCAGTCCTACAAACTAACATCCCATATCAAATGGAAGATAGTGGCGCTGGTGAGATGGCTCAGTGGTCTAAAGCACCTACTTAGAACAAGCTTAGCAAAGCACAGGGACCGCGGTTCAATCCCCCAGCACCACATGCC